GCCCCGCACCCCGCCCCCGAAAGCGCGCCCGTCCGCTCCCCTGGCGCGGTGTGGCGTCTCCGTCAGCCCAGCCGGATTCTCCCCGCTTCGCTGGAGTGGAAAATAACGGCTTCAAACTTTGCAGAGAGGAGCTGGTGCCAGCACTTTAATTAACAACCATCTTGGCCTGTGAGACTGAGCCACCGGTTGGGCCCCTCCCTTGGGCTTGCCAGACCCCGCCCCGGCCCCGCCCAGGTCCCCCCACCCCCAAAGAGACCACCCCCACCTGCGGGTGCTCGGATCTCCTGGTCCTGAAGATCAAGCCGGGCTGATCTTTACTGACTGTGGAAGAATGTGTTTCACTGAGTGGTGTCTCCCCATCTTCACTCCTGGAGACTCCCCCATGCTTTCTCCATTCTCAAAAGCCTGTTAATCGAAGATTCTAGAATTAAAGACCTGTGTGCCGTGCCAATGCAACCAAGTGTTTTAGGTAACCTGCTTCACAAGCGGGTCTCAAGTGTTTTCTTCTAGAAAAGGGGTAATTATGAGGATTCAATGATCTACAATGTAAGTAAGTAAAGTGCTGGGTTCAGTATCTGACCTCTATATAATCCCAGAAAAAAAAAGAGCTAATGTCACCACTCCAGGTCTTAATTCACGCTAGTTCTACCGTCTTCCTGAAAATTTCTATGCTTTGGAGAGAGGGAAAATGAGCCTAAGATTCTAGGCTCAGAGACAGAACCAAATGTCAAGCAGGAAGCCTAGAGTTTTGGCCCCCCAGCCTCCTCTTGTTGCTTTTATTTTAGTTTGTTTTTGAGACAAAGAAATCTCAATATGGGGTGAAGTTGGCCTCAAACTCAGGGTCCTGCTCCCCCTCACATGCTATGATTACAAGTGTGCACCACCACATCTGGCTTAAAAAAAAAATTCCCCCTGTTACTCAAGTTTGAACTCAGGGCCCCTTGTTTGCTTGTCTGGTGTTCTACTACTTGGGTCACAACTCCAGTCCTGCTTTTTCCTGGTTATTTTGAAGATGAAATCTTGAGGACTTATCTGCATCCAGGACTTTTCCTCCAACCTCCATCCTCCAAATCTCAACTTCCTAAACAGAATTGTAAGCATGAACCTCTGGCTCCCAGGAAGCCCCTTCTCAACCTCTGGTCAAGACCAGGGGCAAGGTTTTCTGGAAGAGGCAGGAGTGATGCTTTTGCTGGGAGGGCCTGCAAACCCAGTAGGTGGGGCGGTGCCATAACTAAAGCTGCAAGTCTGGTTTTGCTTGTTTTGCTGAGTGTGAGGGTTACTCCTACAGCCCCCCTTCCCAATTCCAGGGGTAGAGTAGAGTGCTGAATGCTGGGGTAGCTTGGAGGGGTACAGGAAAGTGGGGGGAGGCAAAGTTCTTAACTGATGCATGGCTGGGTTTAGGAAATTGAATGGCTGTTTCTTGGTATTTTGAGGTGCTCTGAATGAATATGAGTGGGTGTGAATGTGTGAGAGACTGAGTTAGTGTGTGTCTGGGTTTATGAGTGATGAAGGAGGTGAGCCTTACTCACCAGCTAGTGAGTCTGCATTCATTCCTCTTTTCTTTGTTTTTTTTTTTCAATTACTGAAAATTAGCTGGGCACTGGCAAGGTGGTGGTGGTCATATACCCAAAGGGAAGGTCTAAGCCATGCCCTCAGGGAGGTTACTGTTTGTTGGGGAACCCAGACAGAAAGGAATGATATATACAATGTAATCATTGTAGCCAACTCCTTGAGCACTTACAAAGTTTAAGATCCTATTCTAAACACTTTATGTGGATTACCTCGTTTGAACTTAACAACCTATTATCATGAATTTAAAACTATTACATGGCGTATGACATTTAATGGTACAAACCCTGTCAGGCAGATAGTATTGTTTTTCCCTGTTTTATGGCCGAGGAATCGAAGGCTCAGGTAGGGGTTTGAACTAGGTGTTACGAAGCACAAATGAAAAACAGCCTGCCCGGAGGAGACCAGGAAGACCTTGCAGAGGAGGTGTCATTTGTTTTCTATCCATCTATTCATCCATCCTCCATCCATTCTATAAACCCCTTTTAATTGACTGCTTGCCAGATTTATTATCACAGGACATAGCGATGAGCCAGAAAAGGCTTCTGACCTCATGTAGTTTACAGTGTATCACTGGAACCTGGACAATTAAGCAAGCAATTGCTACCTAGCCTGACAAGTGTGCTGCCTGGCAATGTGTGGCATGCTATGTGAGCACGTGGCTTCATCATGTGCATAGTTTTCCTGGAGGAGGCAATATTATAAATTAAGCTCTGACCAAGGATGGCAAGTTGAAGAAGATGACTGTCAGAGGTAGAGGAGGGAGGGAAGGAAGAGTATTCCATGCAGAAGGAACAGTAGGTGCTAAGGACCAAGCGTGTGGGAATCTTGTGAGCTATGACAAGTTGTTTACAATTTATCCTAAGGGCAATTAGAAACTACTGAAGAGTGTTGAATGAGTGATATAATTAGAATTTTCAGATGAGAATGATCACTCCAGC